TAATTCCAGACAAAGGGAACAGCATGTGAGTAGACTCTGAGAAAAGAAGTTGGCTCTTTTGGGGAACTGAAAGAGGGTCCTTTCATCTGGAACTTAGAGGGGAGTACATCTAACCAGGCCTGAGAGGTAAGAGTGAGAAGTAGACTGTACTGGGTCTTGCAGGACATGAATAGGAACTTAGATGTTAATCAGCAAGTTAAGTAAACAATACTGATGGATTTTCAGCTGGAAAGGAATAACTGAAGTTCCACTGTGGTGCTGCACTTAAGAAAAGTGTAGACGGAGCCAAGAACACTTGTGGTGAGATTAGTTCAAGTGAGTGATATTGCCACAATAAAAAGATGTGTGCACTGGGTCAACTAATTTGGGGAAATGGAAATAAGAGGACTTGGGTTTATTTAGATAAGCAGGGTTGAACTTAAATAAGATGCCAAGAGTGAGACACTAGTGACTGTAGGAAGATGAAGATAGTTTTAGGAGGAAGATCATAAATTCAGTTTTGTACAGGTTGAGTTTGTTTGTGACATGACTCCCAGGGAGCTAAACAGTGGCTGGCATGTAATAAGAAAGGACATAGTTAATGTGAGTTGTTGTTGCTATTATATCAAGTTGATAGTTCAATTTGAAGTTCTATGGCTTAGAGGAAGAAGACCTGAAATAAAATACACATTTTGATTATACTGGAGCATAGATGATAATGAAAACCAAGGTGTTCAGGGTGTCTGTGATCTCAGCTAAGGAAAGGGGGAGAAATGAGTAGAATCCTGAGGACAAGGTATTTGTTTTGCTGCTTAGTGAGCTTCTTGCTTTGCACCAAGACCCATCTGACTTTAGATCCCTGCACCACAGGTGGACTTCTGTGCTTTCCATAATGTCACTGAAGCTGAAATGTTTGTAGCTGTCTCTTTATAGACCCTTGATGCATTTTTATTAGCCATCATCAGGATATTTCTCTCCTATATTATTTTTGTCATCATCATCCTAATCATGGTAACAGGTAAATTTAGTTCATTCTATGTGTCAGACACTATTATAAGAGCTTTCCATAGCTTATCTCATAGTCCCATTAATATCCTATTAAGTGGTTACCACAGTGTCCTCACATTCTTGGGTGGAAACTGCAGCATCTAAAGGTAATAGCCACCCTATATCCATACTGTTACCTCAATGTTCCTTGCGTGGAAGAGACATAATACTGTCTGTCTGGGTTTTTAACATCTTTGATGCAAACTCTCAAAATTTAAATTTCAGCTCATAATCTACCAACTATGACATCTTGAGCAAGCTTCTTAACATTTCAACATAGTGTTGGCTACTTGTATGTGTTCCTTAATGTTAGCTGTGTTGCTGTTGTCATTCTACCTTCCTCTCTGATGTTATTTCCTCAGTGTGCCTTATAGAAAAACCTGACAAAGTAGTGATGTAACTTTGTTGTGCCTGTGTTTAGTCAAGAACACCTGCCTAACTTGTTTGTTGTTGTTAATATACAGCTTCTTGGTCATTCAGCACAGGTTGAACAGGGAACAGAATTCAGCCACAACCATGAGCTCTATACTGTTGATAAAGATAGCCAGGTCCATGGGAACTCTCCATATGCAAACCAGTTTGCTGCTGCTGTAGTTACTGAGAGAAGACTCCTGGTCATGAAAGTCTGTAATTTTCAATATATTTTTGTGAGAGCACTTCAAGGATACAGTCATCACTATACTGTTACCATGACTATTGATCATGTTAGTCATTAAAAATATTTTATCCTATCATTTGAAAGATTACTGGGAATACCATAGGCCCTATACTTTTGGAAATTTCAGTCTAACAATGAAGGGAGACATTGAACAAATACTTTTGTTAGAACTACTTAGTAAGTGCTGTGATAAAGATTCCAGGGGTTGGTGCTGTGGTGCCATGGGTTAAAGCCCCTGCCTGCAGTGCCAGCATCCCATATGGGGTGTCGATTTGAGTCCTGCTGTTCCACTTTCAATCTGGCTCCCTGCTTTAATGTGCTGGGAAAGCAGTGGAATATGGCCCAAGTCCTTGGACCCTGCATCCATGTGGGAGACCCCGAAGAAGCTCCTGGCTTCTGGCTGCGTATCAGTCCAGCTCTAGCTGTTGCGGCCATTTGGGAAGTGAACCAGTGGATGTAAGATTCTCTCTCTCTTTCTCTCGCTCTCGCTCTCTGCCTCTGCTTCTCTGTAATGCTGCCTTTCAAATAAATAAATAAATCTTTAAACACACACACAGAGCTCTGCTTTAAAAAAATTCCAGGGAAGAGCATGGTCTAAAAGGAGGAAAATGAGTTGGCCAGGAAAGGCTTTTATGAGAAATTGGGTCCTTGTAGCGTGTGAAGATTTGCCTGTGACCCATTGGTTTGCCTACCTCCAAGTGCTTTGTAGAGCATTGTGGTTTTGCTAACTCACATGTATCATTTAGTCATTCCACTCGCTTGAATATTAAGTATGTATCAATAGTTCAAGACAATTTCCACTCTAAGCCTTGCTTCCACTAGTGACACCCCACATCCTTGCCAGCATTTGTTGTTCGTTGATTTTTGTATGAAAGCCATTCTAACTGGGATGAAGTGAATCTCATTGTGGTTTTTATTTCCATTTCCCTGATGGCTAGTGATCCTGGGCATTTTCTCAAGTGTCTATTGGCCATTTGTATTTCTTCTCTTGAAAAATGCCTATTCAAGTCTTTTGCCCATTTCTTAACTGGACAGTTTGTTTTGTTGTTGTTGAGTTTCTTGAGCTCTTTATAGATTCTGGATATTAATCCTTTATCAATTGCATTGTTTGCAAATATTTTCTCCCACTCTGTAGGTTGCCTCTTCACTTTGTTGAGTGTTTCTTTTGCAGTGCAGAAACTTTTCAGCTTGATATAATCCCACTTGTCAATTTTGGCTTTGATTTCCTGTGTTTCTGGGGTCTTTTCCAAGAAGTCTTTGCCTCTGCTGATGTCTTGCAGGATTTTGCCAATGTTCTGTAATAATTTGATAGTATTGGGTCATAGATTTAAGTCTTTGAACCATTTTTAGCAGATTTTTGTGTAAGGTGTAAGGTAGGGGTTTTGCTTCATACCTATAAATGTGGAGATCCAGCTTTCCCAGCACCATTTGTTGAAGAAACTGTCATTGCTCCAGGAATCGATTTTAGCTCCTTTGACAAAGATAAGTTGGTTGTAGATGTGTGGATTGATTTCTGGAATTTCTATTCTGTTCCATTGGTCTACCCATCTTTTTCTTTTTTCTTTTCTTTTTTTTCTTTTTTTCTTTTTTCTGTTGGCTAGTACCAGGCTGTTCTGATTATAATTGCCCTGATCCTTACTCTTCCACTCTTCATTCATGTCCACTGCCCAGTATTATACTCACTCCTGCTTCTATACTGTTCTGTGTGTGTCTCAGATGTCTCAGATGTTTATTCAAGTTCCCTTGTTCTTCATGACCCTACCCAAATCTTGTCCCCCAGAGCATTTGACAGACTCTGCCACTTGCCTGATCTCTTTTTTCTTTCATCATATTGTACTTATTTGTTGCTAGTCCACAGTCCACATACTATCATTCTGGTCATGGTGTCTGCTTTGTGGGTTACAACCTTTTAAAGAAATTCACTATACTGAAAGTTTACATTTTAAATAGAAATATAGTTAGCCCATAAATATTTGAATGAATGACATAGGATATTCAGATACCTCAAATATTTGAATGAATAAACTACAGTATGTAATTTATAGGGAAAATAGTCTGAATATCCTAAAGATACATTCCAGATTATATTATTCACAAAGATAAATGTATTATTCATAATACTATTCACTGTTTATTTCACAGGTGGATTTTATACAACTTTAGTATATAGAACACCACAGTGTTCTTGGTGAACATGTATTATGACCTCATCATTTCATTTGGAAGATGCTTAGGCCAAAATAACACAATTAATAAGAAAGAGAGGTGTAATGAACCCATATGTATGGCAAACATCAAATACAATGTTTTTTCACCAGCACTTTTTATCTTATTAGGTGGCTTTTAGCCTTCCAATAAATAATGAAAATACTCATCAAGACCATGAGGCTTGTTAAATTTTGATTGAAGAAGCACTTTTGTTTCTTGCTTATTATTTTTTACACCTGCTTAATTTTCAAAGGTTACCAAGATATGAAAGGGATTTGAAACTATTGTGTAACAATGCATTTCATGATAGCTCAATGGTTTTCACTATTTATAAAAAAGTTTATTTTTCATATAATAATTGAACCTTCTCACCCAAAGCAGAAATAGAATTATACAAAAAGAGAATCTATTAATAAACATGATATTTCCCAAGAGCACCTGCTTCCAGCATGACATGACCTCATATCAGAATTGAAGGAACCTTGGCAAGTGTTTCACTCCTCATGTTTGTCTCACCACATGACTATCAGTTGGGTTGTGGGACCAAATCTGCATTTTCAAAGAATTATTCTAATGTAAGTAAATATTATAGGGTTGGTTCTCTAATGAATTTGAAAAATATCAAATGACAAAGTTCATTGTCAGCAATTTTTTAGAAAAGGAAAACACTAGGTTTTAATTGTGGTACTTAATTATAATATGTTCAAACTATTATAAACGTTCAGTGCATGTGATTACACGAATAGCCTTTGTGTGTATTTTATGATGTGTACATGTGACTTCTCTGTGATATGATCTTTATATTATCTATAGTCTGATGAAAAAGTCCTCTAGTAAAAAACAAAATCCTTGTTAGTTCAGTGTTTTTGCCTTTTAAGCCAGAGTCCCTGTGCCTGTTGAACTCTTTCCCTTATTCTGTCCCTGTCAGGTACTCATCCAGATCTGAGAAAAATCCAGAAAAGAAAGGAGAGATTTCCTAACATACATCATTACAGTTCATCTGCCTCATAGTCTACCACTTATCCCAGTCAAGAAGATAAAAATATGTTCAAATTAGTGATACAGACTGAATGTTTCATATTCTGTTTTATTTTATTCTATTTTTCAGACTATATTTCCTGTGAGTCCTGATCAATCAATACAAATGTGCTGCAATGGTGACATAAACTATTGACTAAGACTGGGAAAGTAGCTGAAACACCATCTTTTCTTTCACATTTTTTTCATGGTGCTTCCTTTGGAATAGTCAAGGAACATACAGAAGACGTGAGTTTTATCATGAAGCTTCACCGACATTTTCAAAGGACAGTTATTCTGCTTACCACTTTTTGTATGGTAAGCATTATTATTTCTGCTTATTATCTGTATAGTGGCTACAAACAAGAAAATGAGCTCTCTGAGATGGCTTCAGAAGTGGACTGTGGTGACCTCCAGCACCTGCCATATAAACTAATGGAAGTGAAGACAACGAAAGTTTTTGATGCCTCGAGGACAGACCCCATCGTCCTTGTGTTTGTGGAGAGCCAGTACTCATCCCTTGGACAAGACATCATTATGATTCTGGAATCAAGTAGATTCCAGTATCACATAGAGATTGCTCCTGGAAAGGGAGATCTCCCAGCACTTACAGACAAAACTAAAGGCAAATACATTCTCATTATTTATGAGAATATTTTAAAGTATATAAATATGGACTCGTGGAACCGAAGCCTCTTAGATAAATATTGTGTAGAATATGGTGTGGGTGTCATTGGATTCCACAAAACTAGTGAGAAGAGCGTACAGAGCTTTCAGTTGAAAGGTTTCCCTTTTTCTGTATATGGAAACCTTGCAGTAAAAGATTGTTGCATTAATCCTCATTCTCCATTGCTCCATGTGACCAAATCTTCTAAGCTTGAAAAGGGTTCTTTACCTGGAAATGACTGGACAGTTTTTCAGATTAATCACTCAGCTTACCAACCAGTAATATTTGCCAAAGTGAAGACCCCAGAAAACCTTTCTCCTCCCATCTCTAAAGGTGCTTTTTATGCCACTATCATACATGACCTGGGGCTTCATGATGGAATCCAGCGAGTTCTTTTTGGAAACAACTTGAACTTTTGGCTGCACAAGCTCATCTTCATAGATGCCATTTCATACTTGTCAGGGAAGAGACTGGCATTGTCTTTGGACAGGTACATCCTTGTGGACATTGATGATATATTTGTGGGAAAGGAGGGGACCAGAATGAACACCAATGATGTGAAGGTAAGGTTCTGTCATCTCAGAACTTGAAAGTTTAGTTTTTCTCTCAAAGTGATTTATACTAAGACTACAGAGTTTCTCAGGACATGGCAAGCTACAGTAATATGGGTTAAGTACCAAGTAGAAACCATTTTACTTTCCAGACACTATCTACCTCAAAAAAAAAAAAACTATTATTAACGGAAGATTTATTCCATTTAAATATGAAATCGAAGTTAATTTGTTTTAGTGAATATAAATACTCCCCCAAATTTTTAAGAATTATAGATCTTATAAGTAAGCTACTTCAGATATTTTTTCAAATTAACTCATTTTCTCTTGTATTTTTTTGAAACTGAAAATTAGCATTACTAAATATGGAGATCAATAACTACACACTTAATATATGCATATTAATAATGTTTATATTACTATTAATATATTAATATTTATAACATTAATATAATACTATTTATAGACTATTGTATAGTAATATAGCAATAATATATTAATATAGTGTTATAATATTTTAATAAATAATAGATATATTTATATTTAATATAAGCATATTTATTCAGATATAAATGCAAGGATTTAAGTTGATTACATTGACTACTTCTGGTACACATATGAAGCTCGTGCTTAATTTAAATTGCATTGCAATTGTCATTGTGTAAAACTACTTTATTTAAACTGGTAATATTCATTTAAAGGTAATTTTTCATTATTACAAGTTGATTACATTACATAAACACTCTTGGTTGTTTGCTCTTAATAAAACTTAAAATGATCTACTTTTACCTTAATTGCTTACTCAAAATGTCATGGAATTCTATCTCTGTTATATTACATACTGATTTCTCTTAAATGTGAGAGACTTTTTTTTAATTTTTTTTTATTTTTTTTAAACTTTTATTTAATGAATATAAATTTCCAAAGTACGACTTATGGATTACAATGGCTTCCCCCCCATACCATCCTTCCCACCCACAACCCTCCCCTTATGTAGCTTTTATTTTGTAAATCTTTGAACTTTTGGTAGAAAATCTGTAAGTCAGATGTCAAAAATATGGCTGGGAAATTGTTCTTTCCTATAGTTACTAAAAATTTGGCAAATAATAGTAATGTTCATCACATGAGTTAAATAAGCAAAGGAAACTTGAAGAAGCATTTAATGTTATTATAAGAGTATGAAGGTTAAAAAGGAAAGAAAAATTTTCCATATTCTTGTCATTATTTCAGTCTATTCCTTTAGTTCGATGGGAATTAATAAAGAAGTTCTATTGAAGTTTCCATTAAGTCTTTTGCCATTCACTTTTGAAAGTAAAGCTGAATTAAAACCTGCTAGTTTAAGCATTTGTCATATGCATAAAGATTGCCAACAATATATGATTCTCTTTCCAATTTTTCCTTTTCAAATTATTATAAAATGTTTTTACAATTTATACATATTATGATGTTAAATTATCATAATATGTAGCATTTTAATTATTCCAGATGAATCTCTGAGTTTTGTATGCAAAACCCCTCATGTACTCTAATATTATACAAAATACAATTTCATTTTTTATTGTAAAGGTTAAGCCATTTTTAGGGTATAAAAAATTAAAGGCTTATTGAACACATTAAAGATTAATTTAACATGTGTACTTTATGAGTTGCTCATATTTAAATATTAACATATTGTATAAATCACCTAGAGGTTTAAAAGTACATTTTTAATTATTTGGGTTTTTAAACTACTTCTAAGTTGAAATGTGTGATTGTCTCAAAACACTGATTCACTGCAGACAGTTACCCTGACTGTATAAGCATCCATCCGTTTGTTCTCTACGTAGTTATCAAATTTCTACTATATCTGAATCATAAACTGAGGTCCTGTCCCTTTATAAAGAGATGACAGGGGAGAGTACAGAGAAAAGCTATCATGATGAGCATTTATATCTTCAGTAAGTGATACAGCCATATCACATGCCAGGCACTAACACAGGCACAGGGGATACAAAGATAAAATTCAGCTCCCTCTTAATGTATGTATTGTTTTGTGGGGAGATAAATAAGTAGATACCTTGCAAAATGGTAAGGAGAATACTAAAGATGTCTGCATGTTTGATGTAAGTAAAGCTGTGAGAAACGGTATAGTGTGCACTGTGTCCTAGAAACTATTAAGTACATGAGATGGAGTTATGCGATGATTTGGGAGGGTATATCAATGACACAAACAAAAGACCTCAATTTCTTCAAACACTGAAGGGATAGAGGCAGAAGCCCAGTTGCAGTGAGTTCAGGAATGGACCACAGCTTCAAGAGGAAGAGGAAATAAATATGGCGTCCTCAGTGGAGAAATTTTGATATGAAAGAGAGAAGTAAAATTAGACAGCAGTTGCAGGGTGTACTGGTGTTAGGGTGACCAACCCATCAATCCATGCTGATTTGCTCAGGACTGGGAGTATTTGATGCTAAATCTTAGAGGGTCCTAGAGTTAGTTATAGTGACTCAACTAACCCAGAGAAGGGAAGGAACATCAAAGATCATGAGGGCAAGAAAAGCTTGTGGATTGGGTATCTAATAGTACATAATTAATAAAATATTTTAATCAAGTCCCTTTATTTAGTAATTACTATTTATGAGCAAATATTTTATTTTCTCTATTTGAAGTATTAGGAAAACTGAAAGAATGTGAGAAAATTAAAGCTCACTTAGTCTATTTCTTTCAAAGTTAGAGAGATAACATAAATTTTAACTATGAAAACAGTTTTTGCATAAATGGTTTTTTAATTTCTTATGTGGAACAAAAAATGTTTCCTTATTTAATGGGAAACTTAGAATAGCAATGCACTATCAGCCTTACCTACCTAGCTGTTGAATAATATGAGCATGTTTTAAAGAACTTCAGAGCTATGAAAGAAACTTTGACATAGTACAGAATGTATGACTCTTTGTGCCATAAAAAAAGAAAAACAAACAAACAGAAGGAGGAGCCTAGGGTGGTATCTTCCTTAGTCTAGGAATATGCAAGCCTGCAGGCATTAATATCAAAGAGGAACATTGTTTAGACCATCCAAATAGTCTTACAAACATTTAATTTCAGTTGAATAGAAGTCAGAAAAATGTGCATGTGTGTGTGTATGTTTGTGAATGTGTTGTATGCATGTTTTCTTGGGCTATTGGGTTAGTTTCATGATTTTAGAAAATTCAAGTTCACATGTAGGACCTAACCTTCGTGAGACTAAGCCTACAGAATAGATTTGTAGAAAGGGGACGTGATATTTCTATTGTTAAAAAAAGCTTCTCCCAATAAACCATTTTAGTTGTACATGAAACCACTCCATGACCCAATCAACATTAACAACCCATATTCTCTTTTACATACTTGAATACACTCTTGGCCTAAGATCCATTATGCCATTATTTCAATGTAACATTGAAGACGAACAAGAAGATCATCCACCTTCTCTTCTATCCGAAGATTCTGTTAAAGGTGGTCATTTAGGGTTTTCTTGAACACTGTAGTTGAATACTCTCAATAAATAAAAAATAAATAATATAAATATGTACATATATTCTGTTCTCTCTCTTTACTCCTCTTCCTCTCTTCTCCATCTCCCCCTCCCTCCCTCCTCATCTCTTTCTGTGATAACTACACATTCCCTTTCTAACTCAGACAAACTTTCTAACATCTACCTGAAGAGGTGCCTCTGACTCTTTCTGGAGGAGACCTCTTTCTGGAAGTACTCAGCTCCCCCACCCCTTATGTCAGGATCCCAGACCTTTCATACTGTTTGCTTACATTTCAATGATTTATACTTACATAACTGTGGATTAGCTCTTTAAAAAAAAAAAAAAAAGGCTATATTTTTAAAGTGGCATCAGAAGAGACAGTAGATCTTAAATGTTTAATATAATGTCATGAGTGACTTTATCATTATTTTCCCTTCTAAAGGAAGGTTGCAGAGTGCCTAGAGAAAAGAAAGTGCTGAAAATAGAAGTAGGAAGCCATAAAACTCTAAGAAGTGGTATCAAGCTAAGAAGACTTGGCTGGCTTTTCCAGTATTGCTTGGGGCCAGCCCTGAGAGGCTGTGACTAGAATGTAGAGAGGTGAACTCTGTGTGCTTGACTTTGCAGGCTCACATGAATATTCACTGCTCCAGCTAAAGAAAACCAGGAGCTTCATAAAACCACTGGGAAAGAACTTACCATACCAAATGTTTAGGGGTGGAGTGGGAGTAAGGCAATGGCAATCAATTATTCTGTCATAAGTAAAAATGGAAGCTCCCAAATATTTCTCCAGGCTGTTCATTATTTACATGCTCTGCTTGGATGTCAAGTCTTGCACGCTGTAAACAGTACTAATCCTTTCTTTTTGCCTTAAATAACACATTTCTGTAACTCCTTTCTAGTGTCTTTAATGTTTCTTATTTTTTATTTGCTGACATCCATTTTAATTGTATTCCACTGTGGATACATGTGTCTTTCTGATAACAATACCATAAATTTGCTAGGATGGCTATATAGTTGTATAAAATATTCCTCATGTATTTAGGAAATAGTCTAAAATTATGGTATACCTATTAGTTTAATTTTGTTAATTGAGTTTATACAAATCTATATTCTTACCACTTTGATTTTTAAAATGAGTGAGAATAAAGAATGGGGTGCTTGTTGTCAGTAAAAGAAGTGTGTTTACTTCAACTCTGATGGTGAATTATAAGTATTCCATTTTATCAAATATTGGCTTATATATTTTGAACCTATGTCAAGTTCATATATTTTAATTTAATATTTCATCATTTTGTGGTTAACTTTTTAACTACAGTAATTTTTTTGCCTTTAGAGTTGTTTATCTGATACTAATACAGCTGTCTCAACTTTCTGTTGGTTACCATTTGAAAATTATGCCTTATTCCATTTTTTTTTCATTTTGGTCACTTTATTAAATGACATTAAATAGTTTTAAGTTTCAACTACTAAACAGCACTTTGAATGGTGAAAACACAGATAGTATATTGTCATACTTGAATGCT